ATTTTAATCTCTATAATGGCATTTGAGTTGAAATTGATTCAACTCACCTCTATTTATTTCTCTATAATAGATATTTCTATCATTCCAAGAAAAAAAATTTCTATTTGTTCCTCTATTTATAAAGGAAGAAATTGCAATCCTCTATTTTTACTTTATATTTAGAGATTGCTATTATAGAGAAATATATTAGAGCATATCTCATCTCTATTATAAGTTCATTTATTTTAGAGTGAAAATAAAAAAATACATTGGAAATGGTCTAATGTGAAAAGGATTTTCATTTTTATATTCCCGCCAAAATTGAACATCAAATAAAATTCGTGCAACGCACAGATCCATATCTAGTCTATATATATAAAGAAGAATGTTCTCTTCATATAGAGTGCCATGTCAGCATCATCGAAGAAGAAGGAGAAGCTGCCACGTCAGCTCAAAAATTGTCAATAAAATCTATTCTTTTTGCCACGTCACTTTGCTCGCATCTAATTTTTTCGTTGTGTACCGAAAATGCCAACTTTGGCCCACTTAAATTCCTCACCCTCCATTTACCATTGTCGACGAGCTATCTCTTTCTCTTCCGCTCACCTGAAATCCCAAACGCCACCCTTTCATAAGAAAAGAAAATTATCCAATATAAATTCCCTTACGTATATACAATATAATATTTTGAGAAGTATTAGTTTTATTTTTTTGACATAAACGTTACAATTTCTCATGTAAACGTTAAATTCATTGATTAATATCAGAGGAAGCATTTCCATTCTCTTGATTAAACCAAATGATCAATGCTATTTCCACTTGGTGTGAAGTTTGAACATTATAATACACAAACCTTTTGTAATTATGATGTAAACTTTTTAGTAGCTCCATCATGGTTTAGTTTTAGCTCGGTCGATGAGGTGTAGATTATCTTATCCACTCCAATATAATTGTGCTCACTGAAAGGAAGCATCAATATATAAGATATTCTATCGACTTGAAGAAGATTTGTTTTTGTGACTTTGAAGGGTTTTAACCCTCAGACCTCTCTATTAAATAATGGTAGAATATCTAACTTTTAGATGTAAATCAACAAAACTATATATACTTCGTTACAACAAACAAGGAACACATGAGTTTCTAAATTTAAAAGTTATATGATGATATTCTGGTTATATGCATAGACAAATGAAATGTGATATATAGTCCTAAAATTATATGATTTAGTATATCTATAAATAGAATCCTCAGTTTATTTAAATTTCTTTTTTTTTAATTTTTTTTATTAATTTTTTTTTATCTTTCAAAATCTCAAAACCTACCACATCATATAAAATGGTGAGGACTGGATCCTCTCGGTGTAGTCTTTTGTAATGTTCCTTGCTAAAGCTGTAACAATAATATACAATATTAGTCATACCTCCGTAGAAATCATTATATTTATTATATTTATATTATCTAATAAAAACTATTTAATATTAACATTAAAATTTATCAAATATTTGTGATATTTAAAACCTGAAATTATAGTATAGTATACACATATATACCTAATAAATCTAACATTTTTTTGGCTAAATACATTATAATTTAATCACGTTACACAAAGGTTGACTATTTATTTCATTGAAATAACGATACAACTAAGCATATGGTAAGTATATTGATAGTAATGAACTAACAACCTTTTGAAATACATATATAATTGTAGTTATTGTATTATAATTGTAAATGTTACCTCTAATAAGAATAATAATCTACATATTGAAAAAGAGATTACTTCAAATTAAAGTAAAATAATCATTTTGAAATATTCAATACAATTGATATTATTAATATATGATTTTTTCAATTACTAACCCGCCTGTAGGGCGGGCCAAATCCTAGTAATATATAAAGAAGAAAATCCAAGAGATAAAGAGAATCACGATTCTACATATAGTCACATATAAGCATATGTTTTTATCTTGTTTGCCGACGCGTTGTTGGATAACTTGTTATGGGCCAAAAACTCATGGACTATGAAAGATCCAATCAAAACCCAAATAAATAAAGACAGGATTCAAAACAGGTCAGGCCAGTTCGGTTCATCATCTACAAGTTCAAAAATTACAGCACAATCTTAAAGAAAAATGCTCATTATACTGGAAAAAACAAACAGTTTACTTAAGCAGATTCTTAACAAAAAATCTAAAAGAAGAACCTATAAGTTTCTCTTCAGTAGTCTTATCTATCTCCTCTGCTAGTCAACGAGTCAGAGTACCTCGACATGCATCCACCAGTCTCACTCTTTCTAAAAATGCCTTAAGTCTTCATTCACTAGCTTCCCTGTTGAAAATAGGCTGTTGTATTAACCTCCAACCTACATAACTTTATGATATCTTCCAAAGCTCCATCATCTATCTTTCTCTCTGTGAAAGGAATCCTAAGAACCCAGGAATCCACATAAAACATCTCTCATGTGCTCTTTCACCTCGTCATACATATCAAAAAGAACCTTTTGTTACTATACTCTATTTCCAGTACTCCAAGGCATGATCCCAAAGGGTCCATAAACACTTGTCCTCTGCAAAATCTACTAACCATTTCAACCATTGTACATTCAGGGTTGGCACTAGGCTAAAGCCAATAAAGAAATGCCTTGAGACACTATATTTAATATTCCATATGTTTCATATTATATATCGTTATAGAATAAAATTTTCATAAGAAAATAAATATTGTTTGAGGATTTAAGGGAATTTATGTCATAAAAGATATATTTTATCCATACATAAATTAAGAGAAAAATGCAATAGAACTTAATAGCTAAATTAGGTAAGCTAAACATTTATCAATTTCCTTAATGTAGGTGAAAAATCTAAAATGACATCTACTTTAAAATGGAGAGATATATTTTAGGGACGCCAGTTATTGTTAGTGTTGATCACTTTTGCTTAGTGGTTGGTTTGTGTCCAGGTGACAATTTCGATTCTTTTTCTCTAGTTACTACTTTTTTTTTGAAAATAACTAGCAGTTAAATTTGTGTCTCCTTTATAAATATGAACAATTATTTAAGGATTGATTGGTAGTGGTTGTAGCTTTATATTTTTTACCTCAAAATTGAAGTTCTAGATTTTGTACCTTTTCTGATAAAAAAAAAAAGATTTTGTAACTTTAGGATTGGATTTTATTGATGTTGAATTATTCTAAAGATTTAAAAGTACTAAACGTAAAGCTGCAAAAACTGACTTTTACAGCTAATATATTTATTTTTCTTAAAGATTTTGTCTTATAGATTTAGATTTTCTTAATAAATCTTTATTACTTTTATTTATTGATCTATAGAGAATTGTGGTTGTGTAGAGTACTTGTAGGGCTTGATTGTTAGAGCATAGAGCATTAGCATAAGCATTATGATTTCTGTTATCAATCAACATATGTCAAAGAAACATTTGGAAAAGCATTTATCAAATGCTGATGCTCTTTGCTCAAATGCTCTCCAATTTAGTTTTGGGAGAGTATCTGCAGTTACAGTATATAAAACTTAAATAATAATTATATATAAATCATTTATTTTAGTTTAATAATATAAAAAAATTGATAATCAAAAAAGAAATTTATATTTTTGAAAAAATAATTAAAATTAAATATATTTAAATTATTAAAAGAAAAATATTTCAAATTTAAAATATAATATAATTTATATAATTACTCATATCGTTCATTATTTTTAATAACAAACATAACATAATATATATATATATATATATATATTATAGATAAAAATATATACATATATATATATATTTTATACATTAATAAAAAAATTATATAACATATATTAATTTTATGGTAATTTTATATATGAATCATTTACTACTCAATCAATAAAGAATAATCTATAAATAATAATAATTTATATATAAATTATATGTAATTAATTAATTTATTTAATAATATGAAATATATTTTTTGTCAACATATGAAATATGTTAATATCCAAAAATTTAATATATTTTTTTTAAAATGACATTTTTAAATAATAATATTTCACATATAAACTATAATATAATTTATATAGTGAATAAGATTCATTATTTTAATAACAAATATATTATTAATATCTTTTATAAATACATTTTAATATAATTTTTTTTATTATAACTATTATGATAATTTTAAAATTGTATACTATTACTACTATGTCAATCACTTTATAAAAAGCTTTAATGAAAGCATATAGCTTCTACATCATAATAATAATGCTTTATCATATGGCGTAACAATCAAGGTCGTCACCAATCTTTCTAACAATTTAGTCTCTTTATCATAAATATTATATTATATGATATGTTAAATAAACCATTTAATTAAGTAAAATTTAGTGTAATCTTTGTTCTTTTTGGGAGGATAAAATAGCTAAACAAGAGATAATATACAGATTTAAGTTATCAGTTGCTCATATATTCATTTTTATCAATCCACCAAAATTAATGCGGTTTTCAATATCTCACGTAATTCTTTTTTCTATTTTTTTCTATTTATTTATGTTTCTATACTATTTAACAAAATTAAAATATTCCAAAAAACAAATGATCATAAACTGAGTTTAGAATATGCTACAAAACAAGATTATTAATTTATATCTTTATTTATTTATAAAAATACTAGAGAAACAAGATAGCAATCAACCAATTGGTCTTAATATTAAAAATTCAAACATAAGCTCCAACATTAAAAAGCACCTATTTAAATTATTATTACTTTTTTTTCTTCTAAAGTATTAGATAGCAACAAGATAAACTAATCATCTAGTGTACGAGGTTTTTCTGTATACTTCCACTTAGCAACACACATGCTACATAACACACACAAAGAGAAAAACAGAAACGTTGTATATAATAAGCAAATCATTATATTTTCTTATTCATACAAAACAAACAACAAAACATAGACAGCAGAAACAAAACTCACAAAATTGAAAAAACAACATCATTAAAGCACAACAAAAACATAACAAAAAAGTCTTAAAGATTAATTCAACAAGAAAATTTAAGACCAGAACCTCGAAACTTCTCTTCAATGGTTCTATCTATTTTTTCTGCCAAGGACTCACTCAAAGTATCTCCCCATCCTCCAACATCTCCTTTTCTAAAGAAAGCTTTAGTCTCCATTCCATTAGGCAACTTCCCTTCTCTATTAACTTGCAAACTACTTAAGCTCTCAAAACTACACAACTTCACAATCCCTCTCACTTCCTCTTCTCCAATAAAACCACATCCCAAGAACTCAGCTATTCTCTTGATGGTATCTCCAGTCTGCTTCTTCAGCCCCTCGTAAGTAACAAACAATACCTTGTTCGGGTTCTCAAGGCTCGCATACCAATACTCCAACACATGATCCCGAAAGGGTCCACCTATAAAATTCCCTTCACAAAACGCTTCAACCGCTTTTTATTAGGGATACATATCCCACATTGGGAATTCAATGGGACCTTAAGTAATATATAAAGGATTAGGGCCAATCCACTGATCACCAATTGGTTTTAGTTGGAAGCTCATAATAAATCCGAATCTAACATGGTATATGAGCCCAGATCCTAAAAGCCCTAAACTCCTAATTAATTAATTAAACTTTCTGACCGGATATACAGGTCGTGTTTAACCTTCCGTCTAGGTATAATTGTCGTATTTGACTCGCTCGACCGAGTATAACTGTCTTAAAGTTCCGAGATTTCTGGCCAATACGAGCCATCATCTCGAGGAGGGGTATTATAGATACATATCCCACATCGGGAATTCAATGGGACCTTAATAATGTATAAAGGGTTAGAACCAATCCACTTATCACCAATTGGTTTTAAGTTGGAAGCCCATAATAACCCGACTATAACACTTTTTCAATAGGATAATCAGCGGTTTCTTGAGGAGCAAGTTTTTTCCCAAAATGCCATAAGGAGACAAACATGTCCTTAGGGTTCCTACAATAATACACAATCTTACAAGACGAGCTCTTAACAGACTCGGGTAAGGAAAGAAGCGGTATGTGCGTGTTCATGACTCTTGGAGGAGGCAACTTGGAGAAATCAAAATCTGGAGACTCATAGTAAACTCCTTCCAAGAAGGGTACGAGAAGGTGCGGATTGGTAACAAGAAGAGGATGATTACCACCAGCATAGACTGGAAACTTGTGTCGGTTAATGAGAGAAAAGACAAGAGCTTTTAACCAAGTGGTACCTGATTTAGGATTGGTTACGAGGATAATGTCGGAATATTTGGCCTCGAAGTGTTTTTGACACACCAAGAGTCCTTGTAACAGAGCTTGTGTGTGCCAACGTCCTTGAAACTGATACAATTGACTCACTAACAAACCTTTCTCGCTTGGAAAAGAAGAGATCAGATCTCTTGTTTCTTGTGTCAGATCTTCGTCTCTCAAGTAATCATTAACAGCTGATGATGATGATGATGAAGACATTGTTGAAGAGTATGGATCAATCTTGAAAAATGTTAGAAACGGTGAGATGTTTTCTTTATTTTCATTTTATGAGGGTAACGCTTGTGTGCCTATTTATAAAATGAATGTTGCATGTGTTGAGTAAGAAGTTTACTCTACAAGTAATTAGCACAATACTGTACTTTGATGGAATAATAGTCAACATATCCTAGTCTACAAGTTAATATCGCAATATTGTTCTTGGATCTTTCTTTTGATCCTAATATGTGATGGAATAGTCAACATGCTTGAAGAGCACGTAGAAAGATACTTAAAGAAGAAAAAATAAGAGAGAAAGAGTATATCACGGTTCTACTATAATATAGTCAAAGATAAGCGCCAAAATATTTTAGGCTGATGTTTTAATTTTGTTTGTTGTCTTGTCGATGCAGTGTGGGATAACTTGTGATGGGCCAAAATCTCATAGATTATGAAAGATCGGCTCAAAACTCAAAAGAACCAAGATAGGATCCAAAACAGAACAAGCCAGTTTGGTCCATCATCACAAGTTCACAACTATCCTAAATGAAAAACATCATTACATAAAACATAGTTTTAATCTGATTCTTAGCAACTGAATCTAAGGGAGGAACCAATTAGTTTCTCCCCAGTGGTCTTATCTATCTCATCTGCAAGTTAATGAGTCAAGGTATCTCTCCTTTCCTGGAGGATTTTTGATGTACAAATCGCTCAATTATGTTTGTTTGGGTAAAAATATCCAAATTAAAGAGTCAACTAAATCCTCAATTTAGTTTATCCTAGTGATTTAGTCTCTCTGTTGGGCTAAATCATTATGATAAACGAGATCAGCAATTTAGGCGTTGAATCTTTTAACTGAGATTTTTTTGATCTAAAACAAAAATAATTGATGAGGTTTTACATTAAAATCCCTTTACGTACATATCCTGATTTTCAGGTAAATATAGATACTATACAAAAGATAATTTTTTGTTAAGTTTATTATTATCTAAATCCTAACAACAACGCTCACATCACTTATGTTAATTTTAGTCTCATAGTTATACATAATTTTTTGTTAACTTTTATTTTTCTTTGTCCATTTAGGATTATAATAATACATATACATCTAAAAAAAATAAAAAATGAGGGCCCATAAGACCTATTCAAAAATTTCAAATGTGGTTCCCATTTAAAAGTTTAAAATGTATGTGTACATGTCCGTCTCTGTATAAGTGTAATATTGATACAAGTTTAGTTTAGACACAAACAAAGCGACTGTATAAGTGTAATATTGATACAAGTTTAGTTTAGACACAAACAAAGCGACTGTGAGATAAATAGTGAGGAATGATGCTAGCTTTCTATTATTTTTTGGGATTTTAGTGTTGTTGGTGCAACGTCTACATTTATAGAAGGTGAATCTTCTTATTAATACCAATACAGCGTATGTGGATAATATCTCTTTCATTCAAAATCGACTGCAAAGATATTCATAGTGGAAGCATCGTAGCCTATTAGTTAATGTTTAAAGATTTCTACACTACGTCTGAGGTTCGAATCCCATATTATGTAGTTTTTATATTAAGAGGATTTCAATTCGTGAATAGCGAATTATGCAGGTTGGAGAAAAAACTTACAAAAGATCTTTAGTATGACGCAAGACGTACCGTCACAAATGGATCTCATATGGCGGTTTAGGGTGATACAATCATACGTGAATCCGCATAAGACAGATAAAATTATCGGCTATAATATTGTCTATGTAATATTTTTCATAGTATGTAATGCATGATAATACAGTGTGAAAAAATAAATATCTTCATTGATATTTCAAAAGGGATAATCACGTATAGTGTTCAAAACATTTGTTATTGTTAAATATAATTAGTGATTATCTATTAAATGTAAAGGTGGAGGACTTGTCACCAACTTCATCACGTGGCTTATAACCAACTCTATTACGTGGTGGTGTGCTGTCAAGTCCTCAGCTATTCAATGTGACTATAAATACCCCCTCACCTCATCTATTATATAAAAGAGAGTATCTCTCCCTCTAAAGCTGTCCACATAGGATGCCACATCAGAAAGTCCAGCTGTACATTCTCTTCGTTGGGCTGTGGTATTTTCGTTTATGGGCTTCAATTTTATTTGGCCCGATAGTTTGAACACTAAACCCTAATATCGCTGCAACAAAGAACGGAGCCATCTATCATGGCGACTTTTGCGTTTATTCTAATCATCTCAAACGGCTTGCGAAAGGAAGGCTTCGTGATTAATCACTAGGGTTTGTTTTCACACAGTGCTCTTTAATAGGGTTGGTTTTTTGATTGGAGTCGGAAGAGGTTCTGATCATGGCGTCGATGTCAGTCGTCGGATCAGGGGCCTAAAGACATAGGCGGGAGGAGGAAGAGAGAGCTCGGAGACGGTGGTGGCGAGTTATAAAACGCCGCTCTTTACCGCTGGCAAAAAGAGTTTCATTTACTCTGGAGTCACAAGGTATTGTGATTGTGTCTTCCTATCTGAATAGTTGTTTATGATCCGGATGAGGATGGATTGATTCGATTTTTGAATTCATATTGTTAATCTGACATCAGAGAAATTGAACTTATGACTGGTGATGTGATTGTTCGATTCAAAGAGATGCTGAGTCAAGAAATTGTTCTGATTGTTCTGAAAATTATTTGGTTGCCGATCATGTCTCATTGAGACAAGAATTGAATATACTGTCTTACATAGCAGTAGGAGATGCTGATGTTTATTGTTTCTTGAATTTTTGTATGCACATGTCGTTGTGAAACTCACCTTTGAGAGAAGATAAGAGTACATGGAACAAAAACCAAAACAAGAAGGGAAAACAAGGTCTATCTTTTCTTTGTTTTCCTTAAACGTTTGATAACATTAGGTCTATGCTTCTCCTCCTGAGAAATTATTTCATATTCCAGTGAGTTTTCTATGGTAGTATGCTTTAAACATTTGAGGTTTGAGCTCTTCAGTGGATGCCTGGACCTGAATACTGCAGTGGTTCAATCACTATGTATTACGATAATCTTTACATAATACATTATTATGTAAAGCTGAATCTTCTTCTTTTATGCCTGAAGTTTTCGATGGAAAGTTTGGAACATTGGTGTTGAATGCTCTTCCGAAAGGTGGTCGTCCGGCGTCTGGGCCTAGCAAGAAAAGTAGTGACGTCAAGACTTAGAAGATGTCTTTTTGTCTGATCGTGTTGATTTTTCCTGTCTGGATTCTTTCTTTCTTTCTTTTTTTCCTATTCTTTTGACAATACTTTTGAGTAGATAATCTTGTAAATGTTCTATTCAGAAACTACAATAGATGGTTTTAGATTCTATCTGGTCTTTTGAATTGAAATGATCAAGCATGTTAGATTATAATCTTGGATCTATCAATACTTTTTGATAAATGCCACTAATCAGTTTTATATATATCCTACAAATGTTTATTGGACCAAGAAGGTCGTCAAACGCATATAAGTTTTTTTTTAATATAAGTTGAGTTAAACATGACATTTAAATTGAAGCAAAATGTAATTTTGTGGTAGCTGTATGTTGGTTCCAGGAAGGAGCTAAGATCTTATAGTATAATATAAAATCACAAGGGGTCCCAAGGCGTAAAGAATGAAGTTAGTGGAGATCCATTTACGTGACAAGTTTTAAATTTCTGAATTTATTTTATAATTATCCCTATTTTGTTAAACTTTTATTTTATATACACAAATCTTAACCTGGTTATCAAACAAAATTTGGTCATACAAACTCAAACTTAAATTGTAATAATGAAACTTTCAACCGTAATCATAAAATAATTCCACAACACACAAGTCTGCACTAACTAGCATGAGCCCATGCATCACAATCATAACAAGGAAACATTAAACTCGCAAAGCACTCAACGAATTTCAAAACATAATATGCAACAATTCACGCTTATATTTAAATATAAGCATCAAACAAACCAAGATTAATAAAATATAGACACACAAACAACAAAATAAAACAACAATAATAAAACACATACCGATTCAAAAAATGAATGTAACTTGATCCAAAATTATAGCACATTATAGATATTTAACATGATACATATATTATATTCTAATATATATTTTTGTTCCATAATAAAATTATGGTAATTTTTTTAAAAAAATAATACATTACTCAGTAAAACCAATTAAAAAATACAGAAAGTAATAGAATAAATAAAACACTCACTATTTATACGCTGAAACTGAATAATAATATTGTTAAATAATATTTTAATCACTTTGGATGGTAAATAAATGTTTTGATCCAATCTACCTTAATTTAAAAAATAATTTACTGTGAAGCAATTATTTTCTTATTAACTAAAACCAATAGATTTAAAGGAAAATATTTATGATAAACTAAAAATCTTAGTGGATTCAAAACAAATAAGAAGAAAAATTAATTCATAATCTATAAATACAATATCAATTAAATTCCCAGTAATTTAATGTTATTTACTGATTATAATGGTGATAGAAAAACATTCAAAATTGAAAATAAGCCTACTATTTTATGATATTATTTCCTTATTAGTTAAACAGGGTTTTTACAACAGAACAACAAAAAAATAATATCAGTTAATATTATTGTCAATTTTTTAGAAATTTTGTGTAGACAAAACTGATCCTTATCATAATCACACTCCCAACCAAATGAACACAAAAATAATATATTTGATACCAACAAATACGTCGAGACACAATTTAGTCAAAGTTCTCAGACACAAGAAGTTGTACCCAGTTTGTCCATTTCAATACATTTATCGCTTTTTCCTTTTATATTTATTATTTCTCCATTTTTCCTTATCAATAAAATTATCTGTATGATTAATTACATAATATATAGGGATAAATTTCAAAATATCCTATTTAGAATTTGAAATTTGAAAAATATGCTGTCTTTTTTTTTTTTTGAAAACTACATTTTCTTAGATGTGAATTTACTGTTTCACCCAAATTAGATATTTCAGTATATATA